GTTGAGTAGATAATACCCATCTTCCTCGTTCCTGTTCAGTCTGGCAGGGAAACCACTGATGACAAAGACAGTAGCGTCTCAAACTTCCGGACAATCTTAAGTGCACAAGTATTTATCGTTTTCCTAGTTCATCTTGTTAGTTGTCATTTTCTCTCCAGTGAAAGGGTCTCGTCAAGAAGTATCAGCAAATGGCATATACCAAAATATATCATACAACGTTACTATAGGTTGTTTAGGGCATTTCAGCAATGCTGTATCAAACCTAGGGTCCTCACACGGAAGGTGTTAAAGAATGGCGTCATCGGAGATATAGACCGAGCCATCATTTCAATAGAGACTATTGTAACTCAACTTATGTTAAAAGATATAAAAGTATTTTATACTTTACCATCGATACTGTTATACCAGAAATAAATATATTCAGATGGTTAATATGCTATAACACGGTTATACAATGGATGTTATACAATAGGTCGTCTTGTCTGTATGACGTTGACCATTAAAGGACGTACAACTGGTTGTTTATGCGAGGAATACAAGGAATAGTTCCAGGATAACTCGGAGAATACATCAACTATTCCACCGAGGATATATGGACAGCGTTCTAACACGGGTTGTGCTATCGTTAACCCTTAGCAAATCAAGATATATATTTTGTTCATGTTGATGACGAATTAGGGGTGATAGAGGTCACCCCAGCTTCTTTATCATGTCCTAAGTTTGAATGTGGGTCGCAGTGATCCATTACAGACTGCTACTCCCAGAACGACAGGAGAGGCTAAATACAGAGTGGTTAGACCAGTTGTATACCAGATGTGGAAGTAGGGCGATATGGCTCGGACATTGACAACATGACATAGTTCGGTGTTTAAGAAGTAAGCTTTGTACGGACATTCTACATGTATTATGATCATGAGTTCGACAGAAGATACGATCCCTTATGAACACTCTCACGCCTGTCGGTGACGGGATGATGAACCACGACTGGCCACGCCGAAATGAAGCAAGTCTAGATTTGGTCAGCTTCCGGCTGAATTAGTCTGTCATACAGACCCTGAAGCAAACATATCCAAGAAAGCCCACGCAAGTCTAGAAAATGTGGCAAGTCTAGATTTCCACACCTTCAGCTGAAAATGAAGAAAGGCTCAGGGCTCCTTTTCATTATATCATATTTTGTTTACTATGAGCTTCTTTCTGTAAAATATGTTCAGTTCAGAGATTTGTTGTTAGTCCACTAGCGCTGAATCATGGAGCTCATTGGAGCTCCTTTTCAATCTAAAAGGACTTCTTTCAAAATTATCCAGATTTTAAATACTATTTTCAGAGAAAAAGCGTTTGTCAAGGTCGATGATTCGACTGGCCTGAGTATTATATCATGGAGAAATATCCATTCGCCATCTTCGTTAGGAAAGCTCTCTAACACTGCACAGAATGTCCCTCGCCAACGAGAGTGTTGTCATTTGATGGCAACTCATTAGACACTGTCATAGTGACTGTATCTACAGCGCCTCTCTATACTGCTTCACGAACATCGTTAGAAACAACTGTCTCATTATGGCAGCATGTTCAAATATCAGCCGTGGATCTCAAAATCCAAGTCAATCCTTTAATTAGTATAACAACCCTCAAGAACTGCGTCTCGTATGGTGCAATCCCCACTGCTACAACCACCCTCGAACCCCGACAAACACAGTGGGAGTTCCATCGCAACACAGTAGCCCTGTAACGAAGTATCAAATGGTTGATTGTACTTGCATTGATGACACCGGAGGGGCTTATCCCTTATCGATGTACCGGAATTCTGAAGGTGCCATATCGTATTACAAGTAAACTTCACACATAACTTTCTTCATCAACCGATGCCTTATGCATTCACAGAACCCTTTCATCAGTGTCGAGAGTAAAAAGCACACGCACATCATAAACTTCTCACATCCTTAACACGGAAGCAAATGATAGAAAGTGATATACATGCGACCCCAACGGCACTGTGAGGAGAATGTGAACCTTCAAGTGGGTTCCTCGCCAGAGTTGAGAGTTCGTTAGATACGGGCTATGTTTGCGAGCCGTCTTTGCAAGCAGCCCCTCTGATGCAGCTGATAAGTGTGGTGCCGAGATATAGAAACGTGCACGCGAGGAACCTACAAATATTTCAGAAATAAACTGGAGACAAGATCCACTTGTTGAGTCGACATGATAAACCACATATTGTGCTTTAGGGAGAATTAACCGAGAGACAGAAATATATCGTACATCTGGGTCTCATTTTTGAAGTCACGACTTCCATGCATATGTTTCCCAAACTGGGTGTAGATGAACCCCGCTTCGTGGGAGATGAATAAATAGAGGCAGAGTTTCACCAGAGCCTGTATATGGGGAATATGATCAAACACTGTTTGGCAAAAACTACTATTTTCAAAACAAAACGGTCTCCTGTGAATGCTTTCATTTTCGTATTATTTTGGCAGTAAAAGCAGACTGTACAGCAGTTTCTGTATTTATGTAACGGAACCCACTAAAACACACAGGGGCATCTATAGGCGGGTGTAAGCACCACAGATAATCTATACAAGATACTACCGGAATCTAAGCCAACACTGGATAGCCTATTGTAAGTCTTTTCAGATTTATGTTATGTTATGTTATGTTATTATAGTTACTATAGTTATTATATTATATTATATTATATTATATTATATTATATTATATTATATTATATTATATTATATTATATTATATTATATTATATTATATTATTATAAAGGCTCATTTGGTCGGTGTGATAATTTATTGGCTTTAGTTATAGTTATACATGAACGGGGATTATACATATAAATTACAACTGAAATGTCTTGGGAAAATACAAGCAGTCACATGACGCACGTCCCGTGTTCAATCTGTTTTTGGAAAATCCATAACCTTTGTACTCACTACCTTAGTCTGGGACATATGACTCTCTTTATTTGAAAGATATGAAACTAGTTGGGAAATGACTGTTTCCGAAAACCACTAAACTGGTCAAGGAAATGAAATTACCAGAAATCTGCATGTGCAGTGAATCAGAGCGGATCTTGGGAATGACCTATTCCATCTGTATAACGACATTAGTACTTGTAGGTATCAGTGATTCAAGCCCCGAACTATAGTTCCATCTGGCGGGCACCTGCAGCAGGGGGCTTGATTCATCACGGCCACCACTCCCCCATACCTGATGTAACCAGCATCAACTTCCTTCAGGCAGAAAAACGCCGGCGTTAAACGTGGCCTACATTACTACCGTGTCCGTAGACTTAACCTATATTATAACACGCTAAATATGAGGAACTGCGACAGATTGCTGTATAAGTAAGATGTTGTTTGTCCCTGAAAGAAATGTACTCCCTATGTATGTCAAACACAAATACCCCCGTTCCTGTAGACCTCTCCGTGCATACCAGTGCTATACCTGTCTACAGACGTGACTGTACACGATACAGAGGATCTGTTTCCCCAGTCGTGATCATCATCAACAAGTGGACGTATTGACAACCCTTCACGTTATGGTTAAATATACTGCCTATATTTGCATACAGACGTTTTAAAGTACACTATTTCTGTGTATACAATATACTACCTATATCTACACATAGACGTACTTCGGTACACTATTTCCATAGGTGAATCCCGAGAGGAGAAATTGAACTGTGCACTCCCTCCCCCCTTCCCAAAAAGCTGTATCCGCCCCTGATTACTGTGTATGCAATATACTGCCTATACTCGCATACAGACGTTTTAAAGTACTTTATTTCTGCGTATACAATATACTGCCTATACTTGCATGGACACTCTTTAGTATATTGTACCATACAAGTAATGACCTTATTTCTGTGCAGTTCGTAGATTTGCATTTAGACGTTGTGGTGGATTATACGATGGAAGTAAAGATCCACCACATAAATACAGCTCGTTGAGCTTATAAAACACCGCCCGGGAGGGAGTTCATTCACAGGATGAAATCTCCTGGACACACAGAGGATATTTATAGCTTCCTTGCCGTACACTGCAGTGATGTCAAAACAATTCAGACATTAAACCGTGAACCTCGCCCAAAGATGCTCGATGTAATAGTAATGGATAACTCGGGTACATTTATAGACAATGGATTTCCGATAGTATGGTGAGATGACTGAAAGTATGGTGAGGCAAGCGATGGAATGGTGACTTGTCTGAAGTATGGTGAGGTAAGTGATAGTATCGTGAGGTGTCTGAAAGTATGGTGAGGTAAACGATAATATGGTGAGTTATGTGAAAGTATGGTGAGGTGTCCGATAGTTTGGTGAGGTGTCTGGAAGTATGGTGAGGTAAACGATAATATGGTGAGTTATGTGAAAGTATGGTGAGGTGTCCGAAAGTATGGTGAGGTAAACGATAATATGGTGAGTTATGTGAAAGTATGGTGAGGTGTCCGATAGTTTGGTGAGGTGTCTGAAAGTATAGTGAGGTAAACGATAATATGGTGAGTTATGTGAAAGTATGGTGAGGTGTCCGATAGTTTGGTGAGGTATCTGAAAGTATAGTGAGGTAAACGATAATATGGTGAGTTATGTGAAAGTATGGTGAGGTGTCCGATAGTTTGGTGAGGTGTCTGGGCCACTCGCGAGTAGCTACGTACCAATGTTAAACATAAATAACCCAAAGCTGTATTATATTTGTGTGGTTATGGCTCACACTAATCAGTGTTCACTGTAATATGGGGAAACAGTTTAGTAAAATCCGTGTTAGAGTCACAAGTGTGTTTATAAGCTGTAGAATCTCGACGCACGTTCAAATGCAACTGAAACTAATTCTACTTCAACATATCGGGCTACATCAAAGCATCTCGTGTTATACAATGTCATACTGACATATACAATAAATAACGGGGATACATATACACTGTTGTATGTATACAGACAATGGTATCCTGGTGTATACTTCGTCTATAATTCCCACCTCGTATAAAAGACATGGTATAAACTTACCAACTTGTTGATTGGTCTATATGTTGAGCGACTGAGTACCCAAACATAGACCCCACTTCTCCAGAGTGAACCATAGCCCCTTCTATATCCACATTGTAGGCTCCCCCGTCTTGGAGAAACAGGCTCACGAATATCACAACGATTCCGCACAAAAACATTATTATCTTTTGGTAGGCAACACAACCATTAACTCCTTTCTCAAAGATCATGTTTTTGTAGACGTCCCGTCACAGATCTACAACCACAGCATCCTTGGGACACAGTTCGATTACTTTTAATAAACTGGCTACAAGTTATCCCGTCTTGGACCTATTTCCGTTAACTCAAGAAGGGTGCTAGGCAAATCCATTACAACCGCGGGGGTGTACAGCAGGACGTGCCGATTGGTGGTGCCGATGTGATGGGAGCGCCACGCTACCATAAATGTAAGGCAAGCCGGTCCTACTGAGTCAGCTCGCCCGATATACGACTGCAGGGGGAGAGACGCGGGGGGACTCGCTACAACGCTCGTCGGTGGTCACGCTAGATTCCTTAAGCTATAGATTCACTCCGGTGGTTGTCGATGATGAAAGGGTATATAAATACCGGAACGTATGACAGGCGAGGCCTAGCGTTCCGTGTGTACACTGTCCAGGGATGGACAGACTAGGGTTAATCATTATCGTACTTATCTAAATATAAAGAGAATGGGTGAGAACCCCATACATACTAACAACATCGCCCTAGCAGTGTACAGGAGCACGGCTCGAGGGAGTCACTGAACGATTGTGAAGTTGATGATACTTTACAGCCAGCAGTGCCGACATTTGTGATATCCAGGCGGTGGAGTATTAAAATATCCCCGGATCTTACAGTCTGAATACTAGTAATTAAACCAATATAAACGTGGTATCTAACTGTCAGTGTTTTTCGCCTCCATGCGTCTTAGTTCGAGATACGGTCTTCTCCCTCGATAATACACACCCACTACTTCCATTACAGGGAACAACATCAATCATACATACTGTACTTGTACGTGGTATTGTGGAAGATATGTCAATAAGTCACATGTATGTTATGTATCCAAAACTTGTCTCCACGGGAGAGCAGATCATTGTTTCAATATAATTGCTTTGCATTGTGACGTCACATGACATCACAATCAAATCGGATCACTGATCTCTCTATCACGGAAGTTGATAAGCTGTGCTTTTTACGCACAATTGAAACTAAAAAAAAGAGATTTGTTTATTTGTTGTTTAATGCCACACTCAGCAATATTCCAGCTACATGCGGTCTGTAAATAATCGAGTCTGGACCGGACAATCCAGTGACTGACATCAGGCGTACGTAAACTTTCTACTGCTCTACCATTCCGTGTTGAGGTGGTTTTTACAGATAAGTAGAGAACCTTGACGACTGACACATCTACGTCCCCTTAATGACATTGGTCTGTAGTCTCCGACATATCTTGGACATATCTACAGTATTATATTCTTCTCTGTGCCCCTGTTCAAGAGGTCACAGGACTCCTTCCAGTAGTTCGGTACCACGTATTCCCAATAAACGCTAGATTTTCTACTGATGCCTCACTATTGCCCAACACGAAACTGACATTTGACCAATACGTGTTCTAGGAGTACTCTCATGAGTCTGAGATGTATCGGAGGTAAATCTGGCGCATTGTAACACTAAACAAACAGATACACTCCTTGGCAGGCCTATAAAACACGTGATATCTTCTGTATAAAACACGTCATATCTTCTGTATAAAACACGTCATATCTTCTGTCTGAACAGCTGTCTGATGTTACTCCTGCACAGGTAGTTCGTCACTGCTATTTCCGCTCAACTCGCACCTGTTACAAAACAGGACATGTACAATACAGCGTCCATGAGCAACACTGTATCATCTCTGGATTATCGTGGATGTGTGGTATTGTGTGTCATTTCCTACGAGATATTAGATTGTACGTTACTGTCGTTGAAACCTTGTTCTACTCTGGTCATGAAAAGTAGTCACGAATATAGATTTTACGACACTTCTATTAATTCGATTGGTACATCAGCAGGTTTACACATTCTCATTCCGTGTTGGGAACAATTTCAGTGCTTGAAAATATATAAACATAATTTTTTTCTCTCGTGCAGTTGACTTAATAGGAGCCAGTTAAGACAGACACATTGTAATATGATATTGCTGAATATGAACCTATTTTCCAAACAATGTGAATTCGCAGGGAACGTGCATCTAGACTAACACCTAGTCTCTGAATACATTTTATTTTGATGGTAACAAATAATCCCAATGAAATCGACAAGGCGCCCCTGTGAGATTGGAGATTCAGAACCCTGGGAAACCTATAGACTTGCTCGCCGAGGACTTAGCATGGCTGAACAGTAGTGAAAATAATGCGGTTCAGGATTTGTGAGACAGACTGAGGTGCATCTAGAACGTGAAACATTAGAATGTTCAGTTGAAATGATTAATATTAGAATTGAAAGAACACACAAACAAAACTCATAGGGTTAATTTTTAGCATATTCTAAGCTTATTAGATGTTTTCTGAAAACAATATATTTCAGTCATACGTAGACAGAACACGGGTGTAGAATGAATCAGTTGTGTCAAGGCAGTTACGTGAAATACTCCACTTGAAAATACATGTCGGACTTCTGTCCACAATTCAAGTCATCGTTGTGATGACTCCTATAGCCGCAATAACACGCTCACAATAGGCAGCATTTCAATCAGCTGTTTCGGCACTACTCTTATACACTGATGATATTTTCTAGGTACACTTTAATCATACTCACAAAGTGACTTTGTTGTTCGATTTCACCGCCGGTCGAGCCAGAGGCGCTTCAAAGTCGTGCCCTTTTGTTCACAGCACTTCCAAGTAGACGGACAGAAAACATTAACCGTGTTTGGTTATGTCAACAGACGCCATTACCGGCGTTGTAGTACGTAACCTGTCTGTCTCTGTTGTCAACCTCGGTCAACTCGGTGTTTATAGCTATAATCACTGCTTGTACATTATACTGCCTTTGAATCTGTACTGCCAATCTATTGGCACCGCCACTGTAATTACTTTGTAGCGATTTGTGAACTTAAATAATTTTAGAATACAACTGCTAATTTATCACATCTCTTGTTGTTTGATGTTTCACAGCGAGTTCCTTCACTGGCTGATTTCCAGGTAACTTATTTCAACCTTATTTCTTCATCAACACATGACAGTCATACACAGGTAGACCTAAAAGTTTCAGCACATTCAGCAGGTCCAATAATATTTGTGGAAAATGTATTTTCAAATACTTTCAAGAAAATATTTTTCAACAAAGAAATATAGAGGTGTCCTGGTTGGTTCCATTCAGGTGTACCTCGATCCCACTCGACCCATCTGTACCAGGTTAATGGAATAGAATCCCTTCCAGTTTGGGGAAATTGTAAATGCTTATTAAACAGCTAACCAAGGCTGTCAGTGTTGACATTTTTCAGTTCTTCACATTACACACCCTCCACCATGTACACCGGGCACGGACCAATCAGATTTGTTTGCTGACGTCACCATCTTGGTCTTCGTATCAGAAACTTTCCGTCGATTTTCACTCGCACGAGGTTACGAGTTACTTCGAAGTTCACTCAATGAGTTCACTCTTATCAACACGCTCAAAGTGAAAATCAAAGAATTATTTAAATTGTCAATTGTTTCAATATGTCCAGCCCCTTTACTCATGGTTAAAACGATCGTTTTAAGGGTGGTTCAGTCATGATGTGAGGTGGGCCACTGTGACTGACAGAACGCCTTCACATGTTATTCATCGTGACAACATCCTGGATGCACACGTGGTAGCTTTTACGCACCGACGTCGTTTTGTGTTTCAGGGTGACAACGCAAGAACGCCAGGGACTCGTATTGCTGCATGAGAACGGAGTACTCAGTATCCTTCTCGACTCCGGGGTTGTCTTCAGAATAGAGTGAGTGAGTGAGCGAGTGGGTGGATGGTGAGTGAGTGAGTGAGGTTTTACGCCGCATTAAGCAATATTCCAGCAATATCACGGCGGGGGACACCACAAATGGGCTTCACACATTGTACCCATGTGGGGAATCGAACCCGTGCCTTCAGCGTGACGAGCGGTCGTCTCGATCATCGAGGCGGATTCGCGATATTAGTGGAATTCTATTTTCCTGGTACATGACGTGATGGACAGCTGGGCGCTGTGTCCAATCAACTACAAAGATCTATTGTCTTCAAGTGTTCAACGACTACAAATCCCAGCGAGACGTCCTTGTTGCATTGTTGAACTATTTATCTCATATTAAAAATGTCAATAGTTGGGACACCTTTGTCGAATATCCCATACTTTAGGACTTAAGAACTGTAAACTTGTCATGACCTATAATTACATCTAGGGGCGGTGGGGTAGCGTAGTGGTTAAAGCGTTCGTTCGTCACGCCGAAGACCCGGGTTCGATTCCCCACATGGGTACAATATGTGAAGCCCATTTCTGGAAGCTGGAATATTGCTAAAAGCGGCGTAAAACTAAACTCACTCACTCACTATAACTACATTTGAACAAGTCCCCCTGCAAATACATGTACACTTGTTTCATTTTGTCTCGGGCTCATCACCTCGAGGTGATGGAGGTCCAGTCCTGGAGCGTCAATCAGCCCAACACTACGCAACCAGTTCACGTTTCTCGTTAATCTCTCGCGACAATCAAAGTGTTTTTCATTTCAAATTTGAAAATGGTGATGTATTTAGGATCTGCTGAATAAGTGGATGCGATGTAGAAATTCGTATCCGATGCAGTTGCCATGGCAACACGACTGGTGAAAACTTGAAGATTGTCCTGAGGAAAACACCACGTTGGTGTTTGCCTTTGATGAACGCCCGCAATCAAATCAAGTTCGCGACATTTTCAAAATTATACATATTGAGAGACTAGGCGTTTGTCTAGTGTTATAAGGAATTGTAGGGGCGGTGGGGTAGCCTAGTGGTTAAAACGTTCGCTCGTCACGCGGATCCACCCACATGGATACCAACATGGTGTCCCCGTCGTGATATTGCTGGAATATTGCTAAAATCGGCGTAAAACTAAACTCACTCACTATAACGAATTGTGCAAAATTACATTAGCTAAAAGAACATTCTTAATTTCTTAGTAACAGCTTAAATATGTTGCCTTGAATTATTTGCTCTCTTGCAAAGACAAATTCAAAACCTGGCCAAATTCAACTTGTGTGACATCCTAAGGAGGTTTTCGTTAGAGTTATCATATCAGAGTAAACCTTCCCTTGTTGATGAGATGAACTCAGAATCTTTGGTAACACTAGGCAGAGTGTGTTTAACTTTCCTGGAAAGGAGACTTAATCTTTTTCAGTTGATACATAAAAAATGGAGACATGCTGCACAAGGAACATGATCAGAGTGATCTGGGATCCTGACCCAACAAAGTGGGATAACTCTGACAACTAACACTCACAAAAGGTGGTACACTATGCTCAACCAACTGGTCTACAGGAAACCACTGAACTAACAAAAAACCACAACACTCGCATAAGCAAGAAGCAAGTTTATTTGAAGCAGCAAGGCATTTTTTAATTAAAAAAAACAAAACAACAACAATAGTAGGTTTTCTTTTTTTCAGATACACAAAACATGATAAATTTTGTAATGTCTAGTTTTTTCTTCAAACATGCACTAAACAGCATAAATTTCCGAATGTTTTCATATTTTCTCAAACAGAGATACAAAACAGTAAAACTTTCCTAATGTTTTCTTTTTCTTCAACAAGTACTCAAAACGGGATACATTTCTTAATGGTTTTTTTTTTTTTTCAAACAGATACACAGAACAATTACAGTATTCAGACAATGTGAGTCAAGGGCACTGAGTACATTTTTTCTTTAATACTGAATTTTACAACAAATCTGTCTGCAGTTGGAAAGAATTTAACAATTTCATCACATGCCTAATATATTGTCTGAGAAAGTTCATCTTCAAACAAGTTCCAAAGAGGACTGGCAAAATCAATTTATTGACAACTTAACAAGCATAGATTTACAGTACAAACAACATTAACTACGGATAGATAGATCTACAGAAGATGTAGGAGAACAGTCATTCTGAGGCTGGCATATTACAAACCCTATCCCAATTGAGTTAGTTAAGAGATAAACATTTGAAACCTGTACATGCAGCATGTGATGGAGCAGGTCTTTAACACAGAATTAGTGATTTTCAGAGCTAACTGTAGGACTGTTTCCCCACACTTTATCAGTATTTCACTAAAAATCTTAATGCTTGAGGGAAGATGTTTACTGTCCCTGTTGTAACATTGGGTTTGAGAGGGGCGAAGTGGATTCGGTCAAGGAAGGAAACAACTCTGCAAGACTTTGACGACTGCTACTGCATCAGAATGAACAGTTCATCTACATGTACTTGTAAGCACAAAAAGATGTAATAAGGACATACTGATTAGCTGAAATATTATGCATGGAACGAAATGACCATGAAAAACATAGTGAGATACTTGTACAAAATTGTAACAAAGGCATGTTTACTTTTCATTTTTAAAAAACTCAAATTTAACAGGTTTGGTAACTATTACTTATATTGCCTTGGTTTTGATTACAGTTTGATATACCAGGCTTTAACTGGGCAGAATATCTCACATACAAGCCTTTCAACAAACATCAAATCAATGGTCAATTCCATAACACTGTTATAATTCCATAATAGTGTTACACTGCCAAAACACAATTCCTTAAACAATAACCTAAACTACAAAACATGCCTATATAACACAAAACATGCCTATATAACACAAGCTACAAGAAAGGCAACAGTCTGTCCTTGTCTCTATATAATCATGATCAAAATATCAGCTTGTAATGAGAAACAACGCAGGGAGCAGTTCATATGTTTAATATCAAATACATAGTTCTTTTAATACCTAGAATGTGGAGGCTTATCAGATTTGAATACAATGAAATTAACGGTCAACTTTATGTTAACCTTGCGAGTGAACAACATCTATGCTCAAGATTTTTACCTGTAGGTTAAACTTAGCAAAGTGGGCTTCCCTTGTTTTAAACAAATATTTTGAGCATGTAAACTTTTTAAACAGTAACTGTTATTGTCAGTGAGATGTCTCACAAGTCAAGGACGTAAGTTTTATTTGAAACAGAACCTTTGAACTGCTCCCTAAATGGGTAACAGACCCTTTATAAAACTTTGTTCAACAAGATGGGTTTCTTTTTTACAAATGTTAAAACAATGGTTAGGAATTGCTCTCTTCTTTGCAACTCTCAATGATGATTTCTTGTGACTAACATTCCCAAACAGTCCAGGAAATCTCCTTCCCTGTACATTTCTCAACATGCTGCCGGTTACATGAGGACAGTAAGTAGGATAGGAGGCAGTTGTCTCACACTCTCACACAACAAGGCTGTTCACCAACACAGTTTCTGCCAACTACACATGCACATGATAGTGCCAAATCAGTTATCTATTTTTTTAATGCTTTTACCATTACTGAACATTTTGAATTCATTTTATGAATTGTTTTTCTTTTTGGGGAGAAATGTTTTGTTTTCTTTATCTGTTGTTTCAATACTTTCAATATCTTTTTTATTTTTTCTTATGCCATTTCTACTGTTTTTAAAAATACTATCACACTTTGAAAAATATTTACTTTATAATAAAAGTAAAAATATTATTTTTTTTAACATTCCCTTAAGCTTGGAATTTGCATTTGTTCTTTAACCAAGGAATAAAAGTGTCCATGGCGCGGTCAATACCCTTTTTTCGGTTATTTCTTTAATTTGTACCGATTCCAACAGCAGAATGTTTTTGAAAGTGACTTAAAACTCACAATATTATTCTAAACTTGGCCTTTAAATATAACAATAAATAGGCCAAGAGTTGTTTTCTGCCTTGTTGACTGTGAATGCATGAGACAGTTGCTCCAGAAACAAAAAACAAGAAATGAAATACAAGAGGGGAAAAAGACAGAAACACAGATAGGGTTACAGATGTACAAAACATGATCATTTCAAACTGTTAACATTGATATCCTGCGATTTACATGATCTTAAGTGTTAATCCAAATAATGACACAATCAAAACTTCATTGAGCCTGGCTCATATTTTACAATTCTCGTCACGATGTCTTCAAACAAATTTCACCAAAATATCAACATTTATTAGAAAATATTACATGAATCTCGTCAGATGATGCTTTACTTCCAATGGAAAAAAATGATCATTAAAAATATATTGATATGAAGCACTAATAAAATCTTGACTTGGTCAACTAAGACTTTTATAAAAAGCACTTTAAAATGGTGTGTGTGTGGATGTGTGACTGAACAAGTGGAGGTGTAACTGCATGGAATGTATGTGTTTTTGTAAGTATGTGATGTGCACATGCATGTGTGTTTCAGTGTGTGTTCCCATGTGTGTCTGTGCATGCGTCTATAGATGCCACATGTGTGCCTTCACGTCTCTGTGTGTAGGTTGTTGTTGTGTCTGATGTGTGAGTGATATGTGTCTCATAGACAAGCAGCCATTTCAGTATCTACTCCAGTCAACACATTGTTGACTTGGTCGGGGTCCATGGTCAGCTCCTCTGGTCCATGGATAATGAGACCTGGACCAGCCTAGATTCAGCTAACGGACCATTCCATACTGAGACGGCTGCATGTCCACAACAGTTGTTTACAGTTTTGTTTACACATTTTGTTTACATCCCTGTGATAAGGAATGGTACAGAACTTCTTTCTCCCATGTTACAGCAGAATATGAAACACGGGAAGCCCGTCTGACATCTTCTCCATGTCTGGTTTCGGGGGAGAGCCTCTTCGCCAGGCTGGCGCTGGTACGGCTTGGCTGACTTGAGCCGGATTTTGCGGCGAAGCTGGTTCTTGATGTCCTTGCCCCCTCCTCCATGTGACAGGCTGACGTCGAGGGGTGAAAGGGGCTGCTCGTACAGCGACTCCGATGTCGGCAGGTTGGCGCTCGGAGACCCAGGGTTCAACATGCAGGGAATGTTCACTGGAGGGACAATATTTATAACAGATAAAAATGTAAAACAGAAATGTATGTCAGAATAAACAAATAAAGGAAGGAACAATTAAAGGATGAACAAACGAGTAATATCATATAAAATTAAATTAATATTTATAAAATCATAATCACTAGCCACTCTCGGATGATTCAATTGTGACATCAAGGCACCAGTACTGTCAGGCCAGATGACTGACCAATCAGGAAGCTCAACTGCCAAGGTCGATATAAGGTTTACTATCTGTTTAATGTAATGACCTTTGACAGGAGACTTCTGATTGGGGTTACCAAGGGACGCAAGGGGTCTATTCCACAACTTCCACGCATACATTAATAGATTTTCAGCAATCTAAAAATAATCTCTGAGTAAAGGAAAGATAACTCTTGCTTACCGGGCTGAGGGATGGACTGGTTCTTCAAGAAGGTGCATGCCTCTTTGGCACTAAATCGGTTAACATGGTTTCCTTCCAAGGCCGCTGTCAAGAGGTCACGCATCTCTTTGGGCCACTCATCCTTGACTGCCAGTTTCTGGATAAAGCTGGAGTTAAGGGCCAACTGTTGAAACACAAAATGACATTGATAGATGGAGTGAGTGAGTTTAGTTTTAAGCCACACTCAGCAATATTCCAGCTATATGGTGGCGGCCTGTAAACAATCGAGTCTGGACCAGACAATCCAGTAATCAACAGCATGAGCATCGATCTGTGCAATTGGGAACCAATGACATGTGTCAACCAAACCAGCGAGCCTGACCACCTGATCCTGTTAGTCGCCTCTTACGACAAGCATGAGTTACTGAAGGTTCATTCTGACCCGGACCTTCACGGGTTGGATAGATGGAATGATGGATGGATGGATGGGACTGATTGATTGATCCACCACCTCTACAGGGATTAATCTATCGGTCTCATTTCTGCAGGAATGGCTACAACCACTTCCCAAATGTTTCAAGCTTGTGTTGAAAGACAATACTAATAGACATACTATATACGCGAAGCCGACTGGAAATAGTTTTGTTTTTAGATCATAGGATTCAGTTTCTTATTTCTAAATTACATGGGCAGTGGGGTAGCCTAATGGTTAAAGCGTTGACTCGTCACGCCGAAGACCCGGGTTCGAATCCCCACATGGGTACAATGTGTGAAGCCCATTTCTGGTGTTCCCCGCCGTGATGTTGCTGGAATATTGCTAAAAGCAGCGTAAAAACAAAGTCAGTCAGTCAGTCTAAATTACATAATTTCAATTCTCATTTTTCATCTGCTTATACAGAGATATGATTTTGAAATATGTGATAGAACAGTATTGTGATACACATTTTATATTATGTCAGTGGATGGTAGATTGATCACATAACACCTCTACAACCCCCCCGCCTGTCCCCGCCAACTAACACTTGCCGAGAGACTCACATGTTGAATGTACTGTCCCCGCCAACTAACATCGGCTGAGAGACCCACATGTTGAATGTACTGTCCCCGCCAACTAACACCGGCCGAGAGACTCACATGTTGAATGTACTGTCCCCGCCAACTAACACCGCCGAGACCCACATGTTGAATGTACTGGCCCTGCCAACTAACACCGGCCAAGAGACTCACATGTTGAATGTACTTTCCCCGCCAACTAACACCGCCCGAGAGACTCACATGTTGAATGTACTGTCCTCTCCACTCTGGGAGTTTATCCATCGTGAAGCCTGGCGGCCACAGAGCTGCTACTGTGTGGTTTCCTGTCAGCATGAAGCAGACGGTCAGAGCAAAGGAGAAGACGTCAGCCTTGCCCGACAGTTCCAGGCGAAAATTCTTCGGGACGTTGGGCATTTTGGAAGTCAGCACGAGCCCACACGGCTTCGGGACTCATGTACTCTGGGGTCCAGCCATCAAACGTAACCAGTTGCTGGGGAGTCTTGCTCGTCCCAAAGTCTGTCAGCTTCAGGGTGACTGGGTCCAACTTGATGCAAACATTCTCAGCTGAAAATATCACCCAGAATGGAATTAAGATAATGAATTTGTTAATGACAAAGGTTTGACTGTATATCAGTTTATGTAAGTGATGGCCACTTTGTCACGTGAGGTGAAACAGGATTTAATGTTCTGTCCAAGGTTACTGAACTTGTTCCAACTCTCTGCTGCTTGGCGTATGAAGCAATACTGTCCTGTGGGTATGCTCTTTTGACACATTGCTACATTGGGACATGCATTGCTCATAATGACAGGTGGATACCACTGGGTTGTCTATCGCAGACTGTTTCGATACAACTCGAACACTGCTGACTGGAGACTTCAATATTTGTTTGTTGATTAAAGCCGCACTCAGCTTTATGAGCATCGGTCTACGCAACTGGGATGCGATGACACGTGTCAACCAAGTCAGACCCCTTGATCCCGCGAGTCAGCTCTTATGACAAACATGGGTTGTTGAAGACCGGTTCAGGGCTCCGTTCCTCAAAGCGATCGTAGCCCTACGACAATTTTGTGGCAGACCCTACGACAATCTTAAGTCTATGTTAAAGTATTGGAGTTAGTGATCATCTTAGGAGTGCTTAGTGCTAACGATAGTTTTGTGGTACCAGACAATCCAGTGATAACAGCATGAGCAACTATAGGAGTTACGATCATCTTAGTGCTACGATAGTTTTGTGGTACCAGACAATCCAGTGATAACAGCATGAGCAACTATAGGAGTTACGATCATCTTAGTGCTACGATAGTTTTGTGGTACCAGACAATCCAGTGATAACAGCATGAGCAACTATAGGAGTTACGATCATCTTAGTGCTACGATAGTTTTGTGGTACCAGACAATCCAGTGATAACAGCATAAGCAACTGTGATATGACAACGTGTCATCTTAGTGACGATAGTGGTACCAGACAATCCCACAACTGTGATATGACCGTCAATGAAAGTGTGACCACCTGATCCCGTTAGTCACCTCTTATGACACGCATGGGTTACTGAAGACCAGTTCCAACCCTTCACTATTTGAGAGTTAAATATACTACTGCTGCTGAAACTTACGTTTGATGTCCAGATGTAGGATACCGAACGTGGTGTTCATGTAGTCCAGTCGAGAAACCCTGCAGAGCAAGGGAGGTAACCACGTCATCCGTCAGGAACTGCTTGTATGTTGTCTTGTGGTGATCCATAAACACTTTCAACGACTCGCCTGTAACCCATGGGAAGTGGATTGAGGGAATGTTATTTTATGAATGTATCAATTCTACATTCTAGGACACTGACTATCCTCACTCAACATGTCCTACAAGACATTTAATCCCCCAAAATGTGTGAAAAAAGATTGGTAGAGAATGCGAATGCCAGTAGAGTCATGTGAGTCAAGAATGTGGGCTGAGTCAGGTGGGTGGAGTATGTGGGCAGTCATGTGGGTAGTCATGTGGGTGGAGTCAGATGGGCACAGTCAGGTGGGTCGAGCATGTGGGTGGTGTCAGATGGGCACAGTCAGGTGGGTGGAGCATGTGGGTGGAGTCAGATGGGTGGAGAATGTGGGTGGAGTGAGGTAGGTGGAGAATGTAGGTGGAGAGAGGTGTGTGGAGAATGTTGGCTGGAGTCAGGTGGGTGGAGAATGTAGGTGTTGAATGTGAGGGAGTCAGGTTGGTGGAATCAGGTGGGTGGAGTCATGTGGGTGGTGCCAGATGGGCACAGTCAGGTGGAGTGGAGCATGTGGGTGGAGTCAGATGGGCAGTCATGTGGGTGGAGTCAGGTGGGTGGAGAATGTGGGTGGAGTCAGATGGTTGGAGAATGTGGGTGGAGTCAGGTGGGTGGAGAATGTGGGTGGAGTCAGATGGGCACAGTCAAAGGTGGGTGGTGTCAGATGGGCACAGTCAGGTGGGTGGAGGATGTGGGTGGTGTCAGATGGGCACAGTCAGGTGGGTGGAGCCAGATGGGCACAGTCCAGGTGGGTGGAGTCAGATGGTTGGAGAATGTGGGTGGAGTGAGGTGTGTGGAGAATGTTGGCACAGTCAGGTGGGTGGAGAATGTAGGTGTTGAATGTGGGTGGAGAATGTGGGTGGAGTCAGGTGGGTGGTGTCAGATGGGCACAGTCAGGTGGGTGGAGAATGTGGGTGGAGTCAGGTGGGTGGAGTCCAGGTGTGTGGAGCATATGGATGATGTCAGTGGGCACAGTCAGGTGGGTGGAGGATGTGGGTGGTGTCAGATGGGCACAGTCAGGTGGGTGGAGCATGTGGGTGGAGTCAGATGGGCACAGTCAGGTGGGTGGAGCATGTGGGTGGAGAATGTAGGTGTTGAATGTGGGTGGAGTCAGGTGGGTGGAGAATGTTGGCACAGTCAGGTGGGTGGAGAATGTGGGTGGAGTCAGGTGGGTGGAGAATGTAGGTGTTGAATGGGTGGAGTCAGGTGGGTGGAGAATGTAGGTGTTGAATGTGGGTGGAGTCAGGTGGGTGGAGAATGTGGGTGGAGTCAGGTGGCTGGAGCATGTGGGTGGTGTCAGATGGGACAGTCAGGTGGGTGGAGAATATGAGTGTTGAATGTGGGTGGAGTCAGGTGGGTGGAGTCAGGTGGGTGGAGAATGTAGGTGTTGAATGTGGGTGGAGTCAGGTGGGTGGAGAATGTAGGTGTTGAATGTGGGTGGAGTCAGGTGGGTGGAGTATGTAGGTGTTGAATGTGGGTGGAGTCAGGTGGGTGGAGAATGTAGGTGTTGAATGTGAGAAGTCAGGTGGGTGGGAATCAGGTGGGTGGAGTCATGTGGGTGGTGCCAGATGGGCACAGTCAGGTGGGTGGAGCATGTGGGTGGAAGTCAGATGGGCAGTCATGTGGGTGGAGTCAGGTGGGTGGAGAATGTGGGTGGAAGTCCAGATGGTTGGAGAATGTGGGTGGGAGTCAGGTGGGTGGAGAATGTGGGGTGGAGTCAGATGGGCACAGTCAGGTGGGTGGTGTCAGATAGGCACAGTCAGGTTGAGTGGAGCATGTGGGGGGGAGTCAGATGGGCACAGTCAGGTGGGTGGAGCCAGATAGGCACAGTCAGGTGGGTGGAGTCAGATGGTTGGAGAATGTGGGTGGAGTAGGAGGTGTGTGGAGAATGTTGGCACAGTCAGGTGGGTAGAGTCAGGTGGGTGGAGAATGTAGGTGTTGAATGTGGGTGGAGAATGTGGGTGGAGTCAGGTGGGTGGTGTCAGATGGGCACAGTCAGGTGGGTGGAGAGAATGTGGGTGGGAGTCAGGTGGGTGGGAGTCAGGTGTGTGGAGCATATGGATGATGTCAGTTGGCACAGTCAGGTGGGTGAGAGGATGTGGGTGGTGTCCAGATGGGCACGGTCAGGTGGGTGGAGCATGTGGGTGGAGTCAGATGGGCACAGTCAGGTGGGTGGAGCATGTGGGTGGAGAATGTAGGTGTTGAATGTGGGTGGAGTCAGGTGGCTGGAGAATGTTGGCACAGTCAGGTGGTAGGTGTTGAATGTGGGTGGAGTCAGGTGGGTGGAGTATGTAGGTGTTGAATGTGGGTGGAGTCAGGTGGGTGGAGTATGTAGGTGTTGAATGTGGGTGGAGTCAGGTGGGTGGAGTATGTAGGTGTTGAATGTGGGTGGAGAGTCAGGTGAGGGGAGTCAGGTGGGTGGAGAAACTAAATCTAACCTCCATACTCCATCATGATCTCATGAACGCCATCCCGGATGATGTAACCACGGCAAGCGGTGATGCTGGGATGAGACAGCTGCATCAAGACTTCCACTTCATTTTTCTTGAATCTGTCCTTGATCTGAAACATGTATGGTGTTGTCCTAGCAGTCCTAGATATGAAACATGTATGGTGTCGTCCTAGCAGTCCTAGATCTGAAACATGTATGGTGTAGCAGTCCTAGATCTGAAACATGTATGGTGTCGTCCTAGCAGTCCTTGATCTGAAACATGTATGGTGTTGTCCTAGCAGTCCTTGATCTGAAACATGTATGGTGTCGTCCTAGCAGTCCTTGATCTGAAACATGTATGGTGTCGTCCTAGCAGTCCTAGATCTGAAACATGTATGGTGTCGTCCTAGATCTGAAACATGTATGGTGTCGTCCTAGCAGTCCTTGATCTGAAACATGTATGGTGTCGTCCTAGCAGTCCTTGATCTGAAACATGTATGGTGTTGTCCTAGCAGTCCTAGATCTGAAACATGTATGGTGTCGTCCTAGCAGTCCTTGATCTGAAACATGTATGGTGTCGTCCTAGCAGTCCTTGATCTGAAACATGTATGGTGTCGAGCCTAGCAGTCCTAGATCTGAAACATGTATGGAATGGACCCTAGCAGTCCTAGATCTGAAACATGTATGGTGTTGTCCTAGCAGTCCTTGATCTCTAGAAACATGTATGGTGTCGACCTAGCAGTCCTTCATCTGAAACATGTATGGTGTCGTCCTAGCAGTCCTAGATCTGAAACATTTATGGTGTTGTCCTAGCAGTCCTTGATCTGAAACATGTATGGTGTCGACCTAGCAGTCCTTGATGTGAAACATGTATGGTGTCGTCCTAGCAGTCCTAGATCTGAAACATGTATGGTGTTGTCCTAGCAGTCCTAGATCTGAAACATGTATGGTGTCATAGATCTGAAACATGTGTATGGTGTCGTCTTAGCAGTCCTTAGATCTGAAACATGTATGGTGTTGTCCTAGCAGTCCTTGATCTAGATATAAAACATGTCCTGATCTGAAACATGTATGGTGTCGTCCTAGCAGTCCTAGAGCAGTCATAGATCTGAATCTATGAAACATGTATGGTGTCGATCCCTAGCAGTCATAGATCTGAAACATGTATGGTGTCTACCTAGCAGTCATAGATCTGAAACATGTATGGTGTCGCCCTAGCAGTCCTTGATCTGAAACATGTATGGTGTCGCCCTAGCAGTCCTTGATCTGAAACATGTATGGTCGTCGTCCCTAGCAGTCCTTGATCTGAAACATGTATGGTGTTGTCCTAGCAGTCCCTTGATCTGAAACATGTATGGTGTCGTCCTAGCAGTCCATGATCTGAAACGTATGGTGTCGTCCCTAGCAGTCAAAGATCTGGAACATGTATGGTGTTGTCCTAGCAGTCCTTGATCTAGAAACATGTATGGTGTCGTCCTAGCAGTCCTTGATCTGAAACATGTATGGTGTCGTCCTAGCAGTCCTAGATCTGAAACATGTATGGTGTCGTCCTAGCAGTCCTTGATCTGAAACATGTATGGTGTCGTCCTAGCAGTCCTTGATCTGAAACATGTATGGTGTCGTCCTAGCAGTCCTAGCTCATCCAGAAGTGATATATATATTGTTAACGTGATGTATATCATACTTTTACATATAACAACTAAAGTTGATGACATCACATCATGTTTCAAATTCTGTGACGGCAAAACATTTTGACTGCAAGGATATCAACACACAGACTTCTCAGTAGAGCAGCTGTAGGAGTTCACCATTTAGTTGAACCATACTTCAGATGGATAATATTATATCAGACGTGTGGGAGGAAAGCCCAAACTGATGGCAGTACAGGGTGTTTAAAACTTTGGTCAAAATTTGTCTTTCCAGGGATAGTTTAAGCTCTCTGGATGTTTCATGAAACAATTTTCATAATTTGAAGATTTTGAGAGACTAGGAGATCTGATCTACTTCTTTGAGTGGCATGTTTAGCAAGTATGAGTTTCTGTCTGACTCATACTTGCTTGACAACGATACAAGAATCTGTATCGAAACGTCGCATCATCAGAATATAGAAGTTGTTCATCCATAAAGTTTTGTCATTAGATAGACGGACATTTATGGATCTGAAAAAAAACCCATCCTGACTTACCACTTTCATGACATACTCCTGTCCTCTATAATGGCGACAGAGAGACACGCTACCGAACGACCCGTTGCCAAGATGTCGAGTCACCTGGAACTGATCACACTTCCCCTCCTCAAACAGACCATCGTAAGATGGTGGCAGACTCTGTAACAAATCACAAGGTAAGATGACAGTGTTAATCTTGTTACCATGGTTTCCAGTGAAGGGAGTTACAGCAATGATCATAACATTTCCATGGAAACCAGATATGCAGTGTGTGTAAAACTTTCACCAACATTCAGCTACGTCAACTTTATAAGATAAGTACCACGTTTCTTCATGAAATGATGCTATGAACATTGCCATGGTTACCTAACAAATGGGATTATTGCCAAAGCATGGAACTAATTCTCATATGTTTAGATCATCTGTAAATCGTTGAAGGTTATTGTCTAATAATTTACTGATGTCAGTAAAAGTCACCAAAGCTACAAGTATAACCTCATGATGTCACAACTAAAGGATGCAACAAAGGTTTGCCTATATGAAACATAACATTTCATTTTACAGTTACCATGGTTATATCAAACTGTCAATCTTAACATGCAGGCATCTTACACAATTGTGAAAGATTGCTTTCCGCTGTACACACACGGGTGAAGATGAAGATGAAAAGTGCTCACCATGTCAATGATCACACCGTGTGTTCCGATATTCAAGTCTTTCGCATTCAGCAGCCCAGTCACTGCTTTCCTTGTTCCCATGACAACAAACCTACAATAGTGTCAAGCACAGCCTAATCATCAACATGATTGAGTCTTTGCTTTACAGAAACTTGACTTTAATGTTTGTGTTTAATGTTTGACAAAGTGAGGGTGAAGAGTGTACCAGTATTCCTGCTACTCCTTGCAGCTTCAACTTACATTGATATTTAATACAAAATAAACCCGGATTACTACAAAACTGCATGACCACTATGTACTGAAGGGTTATCATTCTCACGCTCTTCACCATCTCCAGTTTTCATCTTCCTCACTCTTACACAGGAAATCAACCTAAAATTAACTGAGAGATGAGACAGAAATTTGAACATCTCAGCAAACGTTTACCCTGACAGCTCTAGCAGACAGACTGTGGGTTGTGATTCTCTTACCCGTTCATGTATTCATCATAGTATCGAGAGTCGAGGTGGCTGAAGTCATCAAAATTGTCCTCGTACAAACCAAACTGTTTGAAATTGTCGGGGATATAACTTTCCATCCGGACTCCACGATGATTACCTCCCTTGTTGGCCTTGCCATTGCGGATAATGGCATCAAGCCAAGCTTCTTGTCTCAGCTGGATGTTCAAGTTCTCAGTTGTGTTGGATCCAAGCTCTTCTGGAGCATCTTTGACGTTTTGCTTCTTCTTGTTGCCATGGAGACTGACATGCTCTATGTTCAGGGTTTGGGACACAATACCACTGCTCACATCTATTTCAGGTGCCTTGAACTTGGCAGGTCTGATGATGTCTCTAATAGCCTTGCCTGATAAGGCTTTGGCAAGACTGGGTTTTTTTGCAGGAAAGCTTTCATACTCTGCAAACTCCAGATCTGGACCATCAGAGCCCCCTTGGGAATAAAAGTAAACATCGTAAAAAAAACATCACAAAGAATACTTGACAAATAAACAGTAAAAAATGCACATTGTGCCTAATTCTTCAACACAAAGCATCAAAACATGTCAATACTGAAAGATATTTTGATATTAAATATTCTGCATTAGGATTAACTAAATAAATCTTACCAATTCCAAGTATTAGGATTAACTAAATAAATCTTACCAATTCCAATTTGAAGTTCATTGCCATGGTGTTCATTCCCATACAGACATGAACTCTCCCCGGTTGCCGTAACAACCTGATGTTGAGTTGGCTCCGACTGATCAACCGGGTGGAAATTAGGGAGACGTTCCATTTTTATTTTCTGAAACATAACAGCACCATCAACATCATCCAACATAGGTAAATGAATTGGCAGTCAACAGTAAATAAGTTGTATACAAATCTCTGAGTGCTGGAGGAATGTCCAGTGTGGTGCAGGTCGAACACCATGTGTATGGAAGTCGTGCTGAATATAATAGTAATACAGAAGATAAATATAACATGTTTTTAGATGCAACACGTTATATTTGATCACTTTCTAAAATTGCATTGCGACTTCATGCTTTTAAATGTTCAGGTTTGGGTGGGCATTCAATCCTGGAAATTTCATATGGTACTGACATTTATCCAGATTCTAAAATACAGAAGATATCAGTCATTTTCTGAAGCACCCTTTCTCAATGTGAACTGTCCCAGTTGTGAGACGACTGGACATTGGACAATTAGGATTTAGAAGTATTTGTATTATTAATCATGATACATATTCATATGCAGTGAACAGTGCTGATGAGGTATTTCTTGACACACACTCTCATTGTTTACAATTGTTCAATAACTTATGTTAACATTCTTCAAAGGCATTTAGAAGTTGGTGTAGTAATACAACTTATGTTAACTACTGATTCTGAGAAAGCAAAGTTCTGAACATAGGGAATCTGAGATTTAGCCACGCATGTACACCTGGCAGAGAATTGATGAAAGTGCATGAACAGTTGTACTCAGGGATTTACCTCGAGTCCTATATTTGAGGGTCCCTGGGACTCATATTCTTAATTTTCAGGGGTCCTGGACTACAAAATGGGCGTCCCAGACACATAGATATTATTGTTAATACTGTTATTGTGTATGATCATCACATTGTTACATTAATTAAAGTACAAATAATACCATAACCCAGCTAGTTGCAAACTCAGTGATAACTTAATGTTACTTGACTGGAATTTTTACAAAAAGTATTTGGACTTTTTCGCCCCAGTGGAGCTCAAGGTAAGGGCGGATAACTCATCCCGACCTCAGTCAGTTAGGGCTGAAACCCAGGTCATGAGGGTACCCTCAGTTTACGTTGATTTGAAGCAAATCCCTTCTACAAAGATGGGAAATAGTATGTGCACTACAGGCTGTGGTAAATGGAAGATGTGTAATAGCTATATTTAGAGCTAGACTTGGTTTAATGGTTTTGTTATGATGAAATATGTTTTTGAAAATTGGATGTTTGGGGGAAACTTTGTTATTACACTAATGAAACTTCCTATTTTTAAAGAAAAAAGTATATACTTAACTCATACCTTAAGATATATTTTTCAAGTGACAAAGGCATTTTTAAAACAAATTCAGAATGGGTGACTTTCACATGTGGTCTGCATTTTTATCAATTTCATGATCGAGTTACAGACAGACAGACAGACAGACAGACAGACAGACATTTTATTCAGTAATAGGCCACTGGCCCAAAATACATTCATAAATATGATAAGAAGTTACATGCGTTTTACCAGGGAGACTATATAACGTTGTAGATAATCCCTGGTTTTACATAAAAATCGATCGATCGAGTTACCTACCTTTGAAACCTAAAACCCCTTGCTAATCTGTGTGATTTTGTAAAAGATATTGTAGCTTTTTCAATGAGAAAGGGTCGTTCAGTCCCAAAAATTAGACAATTTGCAAATGAAACAAATTGGGAAAATCTGAATGCAAAAATATAAAAGGATCAGCCTTTGTCTATTTAGAGCCCATGGCCTGTCTGTCTTTGTAATTCTACCATATCATTTAATTTCACATGAGTTTGTATTTAGTATATATATTTTATATTTGTTTTAAAAGTACATGTAGTTATTTTATCAATGTGACAAGAAGAATCATCAGAAGATGACCATCCCTCCAGTTCCACATAAATCCTAAGATCATGTTTCTGATCCACAAACAAACCCTTACCCGGAATCAATTCTAAGTCTAGCCATTGAAATAAAATTTTAGTATTCTGAAAATATCAAAAGGCACCACTTCAGTACTTGGCTGATGCATACAAAGTTTCAGAAAGAAATAATGAACGGTTTTCAAGTTCTGCCCTGGAAACGAAATGAATCACAGACGGACGGACGGGACAGACGGACTGACAGACAAGGTATTACATACTTGTGGGATATTACACATAATTTTCACTGATTAAATGATCATCAAAATCGTTATACATTCCCTACATCAGAGATTTATCATCAAGTAGGGCTAGACTAAACTAAACAGACCAACGGTATCATAATGATAACCACTGATGACTGCAACATATTACACAAGACAGGAAACTTGTACTCTCACTCACTGCATATGCAACTATTGAATAAAAACATATCTTCCACTTAGTTCCTTTAACACTTCTTTGAATTTGTGGTTGACATACTGAGTGCAAAGACATTCATGGATATTTTGGGAGAATTTCATCCATTTCCGGCTATTTTTTCTCCTCTATTTTTCTATTTATGAAATCACTATGAACACCCTTGACCTTAAATTTTGTTCCCACCAATCAGCATTGATAAGGACACATTTGAGACTTAAAGATTTCATTTTTTCCACCAAAAGTGAATATTTTATGTACGGTTGTCACTTTTTCTGTTTTGTTTGTTTCTTGGGGTCCTGACGGTGCCATTTTTGTAGGATTTTTCACATGAGATATATGGACAATAAAAATCAATAAAAAATATGGTTTTCTTTCTTAAGGATGATCAGTGATGACAAAAGCATCAATTATCAATATTCAACTACGCAGACCAGCAGAGAAGTAGCAGTAGACGTGGTAGAGGGTAAGAGTTTCTTACGTATCCCCCACCTAATTTTTAACTATGAACTATAGACTAAACTATAGTGTTTGCTCATCACTAAAATAGGCGGGGGGTACGTAAGGAAGTCTTTCTACTGGTTCAGCCTACGAAAACACCGTCTCCCCTGAACGAACGTATTACGTATTAATCTTTCATAAACACGATTTCTTGTGTGTGCTGTATGATAAAGTAAACATTGAAATACGCAAAGGAAACGTTAAAGTCACCTGATTCTCAGCTATTTCTGTTTTTTCCCCACATTTTGAAAACAGTAATTCCTTCTTCCTCCCAGGCCAAAATGGCCCCATCTACTTTCGTGAAATTCCCGTTTCAGAGTATATATATTCCGGATTGGTCTTTTTAATACGAAATTGATAATTATTCAAAACTTGTTGATGCAACTTGAATGTTAACATGGGGGGTAAATATGCATTTCATTTCAATTATTTGATATGATCAATGATAGATTCCTTAATCTTTTAAACACACTGCAAGCCGTTCCAGTTCAAATAACTTCGTTTCAGTTATAAGCTTTCATTTTGAATAAATCCATGTTGTCGAAGATTGCCGGAAAAATACGATCACAAGAAAAGGAAAAGGGGAATCCCCTTCATTATTCCCTTTACAAGGCGGAAGTTGAACATAAAACTGGTACCGCTGTTGGTAAGCGCCGCACGCTAAGCGCTTTAGCCAACAGGCGGTGGCGATACACTCAAGCAATACAAATCTGTTTCAAGCTTTGATATATCCTTATATAATAAGTGCTTACACTTTAAAATCCTCATTCTAACTGTTGCAACGGGCAAACCCATGTCCCAGTGACATTTTTCTGAAAAATATATTTCTTAAAATTTAAGTAAATTTCTTAAAAATGCAAAAATGAATATTATATACCAATAAAATAAAATCAAGAAACATTTATATTAATTTGATCATTTTGATATAATACGCTGCTTTTTCAATATGTCCCAAACCTGTAGAGTCCATTGCTCAAAGTGCTTAGTAAGACCTTTTATTATTTTATAAAAACAGCATTGTCCCAAATAACGTCATTACCGCAACAGCCCAGTTAGCTGGTCCCTGTGAAAAAAAGGAGGTAGCTCTAGTTCCATGATCACATGGGCTGAAGTTTAAAAGGCGGGAAAACTGGGAGACATGCTGGCTGCTTGTCCTAGTGGAGAGTAGAAAATGTCCAATTTCAATATAAACCGAGTCAGTGAACAGAGTATGTATATTCATTGTCATTACCACACAGTCTGGAATCCGAAACCTCCAGTGAATACAAATGCAAACACTTTTCAGTGTGATTAGAAGTGGTTTAAGGCAGGGAGACTATATAAGGCCCTGTTGTAGAGTATCCCTGTTTAAGGTAACTAACATGGATTTCATGGAGGTGGCGAAATGCATGAAGCTGAGTAGGGCCATAATTTCTGTGAAAATGTCATTACCGCAACAGTCATTACCACAACAGATTTAACTGTTGCGGTAATGACATTATGTTGTGGTAGTGACATCTGACATTGTTCAAGGGGTTTCCTGATTAAAGTCTGTTGTTATAACAGATTACTGTCCATGCTGTTTGTGTAATGTGTCAAGATTATCATGTGAAGCTGTATAGAAATTATCATCCACAATTTTAAGATATGTCATTACCACAACATTCTTGCTGCATGCTTTTACACTTGTAATGCTGTGACGATACTTTATTTATTGCCTATTGCTATTGTTTTGATGTTTTAGTATTTTACGATAAGATGTACATGTGTGACCAAAGAGTATCTCAGAATGAATACTTTGAAATTAACCATGTTTTTAACAGTTCTATTTCATGAAAATGATATCCAAAATAACCCGTTGTGGTAGAATGACCCGTTTATCCAAGTGTCCAACTTTATTCGATTTACTTTCTTGTTTAAAGTGAAAATCATCGGTACGTTTTCATGCAAACAGACTAATGTATATAAGCTCTGTTAGTAGCTTATTTGCAATCTGACAAGTTGCAGGCATTGATACTGACTCGCAAATAAGCTACTAACAGAGCTTATATTATATAGATCTGAACAAACCCGTTCAAATAGTCTCAAGAACATGTAATCAACATACGTTAGGCTCGATGAATTACTTAATACCCTTTGACGGAAATCCGACATGTGAAACCACAGGGGCTTGTATTGTTGAAAATAATACGTCCTGGGTCCTACAAGCGTACACTGATATCCATATATATATAATTTATGTATATATAATATTTTATATATAATTTATATGTATATGTACGCTTGTAGGACCCAGGACATATTATTTTCAGCAATACAAGCCCCTGTGTGTGAAACAGAAGTTTAATCCCCCACATATCTTGATGAGAACAAGGACGTATATTCACGTGTTTATATACGTCTTTGATGAGAATTACTGGCTAAGATATTCTATGTCTAAAGATGGTGTCACTGGTTTACCACGTGCGCTGTTGGCAAATGACAGTCTAAAGTGTTCATTTATAGCATCTCATTTCATGATTGGGCAAGTATTGGAACACTGATCAAGCGGCATGCATGTCGGGCTTGAATCACATCACTTTTGTGCAGAAAAGGTTAATAATTATAGAAAGATTATTGCTCAAAATAAATACGATATCTGTTGCTAGCTGTCTAGTTCTCATAAAAAGACTGTTGAAAAATATCTTTCACTTCTCCAAACTTAAAGGTCACATGCAACCAAAAAATCAAACATAATTAAAACACAATTATCACTTCTTCATGACATATAATATGCATTGCTGATTATGAAAAAACAAATAAACAAAATTATAAGCGTATAATCGCAAATCAAAAGTGCAATATTTTGTACTTGGGTTTACCTCCCTCGAAACGAAGCAGCCGGGATACCGAACCCAGTCAGAGCGGGTGGGTGTGCACTCAAGTGTAACGCAGGGGCGGATACAGCTTTTGAAAAAGGGGGGTTGCATAGTTCATTTTTGCCCGAGACCAAATGGCAAGCTTAGAATGTGTGTTTGGGAAAAGGTGGCAAATATACAGCCTTCCAAGCCGCCTCTTGTGGCTTTGTGACCCAATGGTTAGTTGCAGACATTAATCTGCATAAGAGTTAACTCAACTCGTATACACTCAGTTTTCATTTTATTGTTTACCTAAAATTACCATTCAAACACACAGACACTCTTCACAGACTTGGCTGTGTTACAGTTTGTTACAGTCAGATGCATTAATTAGTTACTTGTATGTTACCTCTACACTAAGACTTGTGTCACAGAAGACTACTGATAGAGGATGCATTTCTCAAACATACGTCTGCGATGCTTTTTCACATATTTGTGAACTATCTCATCAGAAACTATTTTCTTGTCCTGGTTCTGGTGGATCAGTGTCAGTCCAGTCAAGCGCTCCTGACCCATGGTACTCCTCAGATGCATCTTCAGCCTTTTAAGGCTGGAAAATGTCCTTTCTGCTTCAGTGCTTGTAACTGGAAGTGTAATGGCAATTGTGAGCAGCTTACGGATGTTAGGGAAAACATCCTCATCAGCAGATTTCAAGCTTTCGATTGCACCTTCAGGGTGGTATTCCTGTGACAACCAATGAAGGCGCCAACTTCGGAGTTCTGCCAGAAGAGAAGACACCATTGGCAAGTCATTCTCCCAGAACATTAGTTTTGCTTCCAACTGTAGTAGATCTGGTTGGTGAACAACCGCACATGGCAGAAGACCAAACAGTTCAAATCCAGGACGGTTCTCTGGACTGAACCTTGTGTTCATCTCTTCTTGCAGGTGGTTAAGGAAAGGAATGATCAAATTGAGCTTAAAATGTTCTTCGGGAGATGGGGATGGTGAATTCGCTTTCTGTGTCATCCTCTTCACAATCCGAGGAAGACGTATTTCAGCATCAAGCTGTTCTGCAATAGCACAAGCTTCCACATACCAATCATGACTCCTTTGATCCACATCAGCCCTCATGGTTTTGATCATTGATACCCTTTCGTCAATAAGTTTGTAAGCCATGCAGATGTCATTGTCCCTTTTTTGAAGTTTGACTGCCAGTGGTTTAACAACTTCAAGTGCATTATGGGCCACTACAAACGCCATGATGTGTTGCGAATCTCTCAGAATGGTCAAAAGCCCTTGTGCTTTTATGGTTGTCTCTTTGTCCCATGCCCAGTTCTCATCATGATAAATGTCTGCATGGTTTCGAGGATATAGGATGGCCTCAAAACATGTGCAAATGTGGCTATACAACTTTTGAAAGACGTCAAAGCACACATGCCTCTCAACCCATCTAGTCTTGCAAAATCCCAAAAGAAGAGTTCTTGTCGTATCAGTGCAAAACGCTTTCAGAACTCTCTCTAAAAACCTCTGGCGTTTTGGTGATTTGTCAAAGAAAAGAAAAACTTGGTTGATGTTGTCCATCATGTTTCTGATTGGAGGGATTTTGCATGAAGCCGCAATACTCAGATTCAGAACATGGCTGTTGCAATGCGTGTACAAAGCCGTAGGTGCCAAAATTTTGACATCAGCCTGAACGCCAACTCGAGATGAAGACATGCAGGATGCACCATCATAGCTTTGTCCTCGACACTTGGTGATATCAATGCCTTGGTCCTTCAGTGACTTTAAGATAGCTTCTGCAATATGCCGACCTGTTGTTCTTTCTAAATGTACATAATCAAAGAATGTCTCTTTGACAGTCATTGTATTTTGATCAAAATATCTCAGGCAAAGACCAAGAACCTCAACATTGGAAAACGTATCTGTGACTTCATCTGCAATCACAGAAAACACAGCCCCTTCTTTTTGAAGCTGAGTGACCACCTCTGAGCGAATGTGGTCACCAACTACTTCAATGAGTTCATTTTGAACTGTTTTGCTGGTATATTGGGTGTTTCTTCTGCCAAAGTCTAAATGATGACATAGTTTGTCATCTCTATCTGCCAGTAGATTTAATATGGCCAGAAAGTTTCCCTTGTTTGGCTGTTCTGATGTCCTGTCATCTCTGTGCCCCCTCAGAGACAAACCTTGTCTGCCACAGAGTATTACTGTGTCAACTATTTGTTTCAGAATGTGGCAGTTTAAGTCGTACATCTCCTTATTCTGTTGAGATATCCGATAAGGTAACGACTTTTCAGGTTCTTTGTAAATGCGTAGGAAGTCCAACGCCGCAAGAACAGCTTGTTTGTGAAAAAAGGTATTCTGGTGAATCTAAAATGCACCATTTTTCCCAGTTGCTTTAGACAAATTTGTGAAAGGATACTTTACTACAGACCCTGCGCACTTTCGCTCATCGCCCAGGTTCGGAAACAGAACACACATTTTACATAAGCCTCCACCTGC